TCGCGCAAGAACCTTCACGACATGGGGGCACGACAAAGACAAAACATATATCATTCCGTCTGCTTTTGATGGAAACGCTCGCCACTCATTGCTTAAATAGGGAGTCAGCGATATAGGAGATAGTATATATATGCAAATAGGTTATAAAGTTAATTGACGACAAGGTTTTATAACCTATTTGTCAAGTTTGCGTACAATTTCACAGCCGACTACTGAATTTTCAATGATTTTGAGTAGTATTAACGAAATACGTGTCTTTAGTTATTTGAGTTTTTTATGAAAACTAAGTACAATGTTTTTTAAAAAATAATAAGAGTAAAAAAAGTTTTAGAATTAAATTCTACATGAAATGAGGTAATAATGTATTAAATTCACCAAAAGGTTAAAAAAAATCTGTCAAAATTTAGGGGACCATCACCCCTAATCAACCCTTTGAAATGCCTCAATTGGTTTCAAGTTGCTACCAATTAATACCCTCGGTACACTCATAATGTATGGAAATTTCAAAAATATTCAGTGTTTTAAAAATTTAAGACCCAACTTTTTAGGCCTATAACTCCTCAGGGGTACAACTTAGTATAGAGATAAGTTGCGTTAAATCATCTTAATTCATTTTCTTCTACATGTCCCTGCTTTGTGTCGGTTCTTATGTGAATCACACTGTATATGGAATTTCCATATCAATTATCCAAGAAATACATTTTTTCATGAATTTTTAAAGTTGAGTCTAAAATATGAGAAACTCGAAGAATGCTATACAAAAATTGAACAACTCACTATAGTGCTCGGGCAAATACATCGGAAACCAAAAGGATGATGCGTACCAAGAGATGGCGATTTTAAGAGCAATACTAGAAACTCACTATAGGATTAGGAAAGAGGCAAGGAAGTTCGAGAGGAATACAAGACGGAAGATATGGTAAAATAAATGCAGGAAACTGAAGAATGAATACGTTTCATGAATGAAACGGAATAGACTGCCAAGTTACCGCGATCTATAAGATCTATTGTAACTTTAGCCCTCCAAGTTTAGGGTACATGTAGATCTTGAATGAACCTTAGTATTGCTCCAAGGTCTTGTTCCTTTGTATCGGTAAGTGTCAAAAGAGCTTTACCGAAAATTTTGTGTCTTAGGCGACCTCTGGCAACGCAATTACATAGTATATGTTCAGTCGTTTCTGACTAGTCGTTGCAAAGTCGACAAGTTTAATCCTCAGCTTATCCAATGTGGATGAGGTGGTATTTTAGGGGCGCACGGCTTGTCAGGAAAACTGAAAGGGTCCTTTTACTGAGGCATAAAACCTCTTTGGTTTTGTTTTGCGACGGAGTTATCATACTCTTCGCTTTTCTGTGACCTGGAAGTTCTTTCCAGCGTAAGACTACCTTTGAGGCCTCCCAACTGTTGATTACTTGATTTAGGTGGCTTTTTTTGTAGTCCACAACCGGGCGTCATTGGGGTCCAATGAATGACGTTTTCGGTGCCTCTTTGGCCAGCTTGTTCGCCTTCTCATTGCCTTCAATGTCTCTGGAACCCGCCATAGAGTAACATCATTGCTTCCCGTCCTTCGGAGGGGACGTTAAGCGTCGGTCCCGGCAACCAGTCGTCAACCCATGTGTGTAAGAGGTTTGAACACATGGCTGAATGCGCGTTAGCGCCCTTGATGCTACACCTCGTCGGAACGTACCCGGACTAAGGGTACGCCCCCAACGGACCAAGGGTTGATGAGCAGCTTTGCTCCACCTTGTTTCGAGGGGGTCAGCGAGTGAATGGTATCATTGAGCGGCTGAAAATGTCTATGGATGCACCTTTCTGTCCCTTTTGAAGGTTCAAAGCGGTGTAGAAATTTATAGCATGTACTTCTGCTTGCAAAATGGTTATGGGCAATTTAATGCGGCTCTCTGGTCCAGTAATGCCCATGTCTACTCCGGATTCAACTGTCTTTGAAGCATCCGTGTACCAGGCAAGGGCTCCTCTTGTTAGTTGAGGCCACCCTTCGTCTAATCATCTAAATATGACCTTTACGGCTGGTCTAAATTGTATTCTGTCGGTCCGTTTTAATTTCAATCAAGTGATTTATACATGGGTCCTTGAGGCTTTCGAGGTGTCCTCTGAGGTTACCCTGCATCAGCTTGAGTGAAGAGCATGTTTTGAGTGATAAGGCACTTAAAGCTGCCTCCTTTTGTATATGTATATAAATGAAGTGGCGTGAGACCGAGTAGGGCTTCAAGAGCAACTGTCGGACATGATTTCATTGCACCCGTTATGTTAAGACATCCTAACCGCTGTATTTGTGCCAACTGTCCGAGGAGGCAGCGGCAGATCTAGTTAGCCTTAATGGCTTTTTTCCTTACATTCCGAGTGATTCGATTTTGTTTGGATTAATGCTGAGCCCGTTGCTTCTACATCAAGTGCTGGTAAGTCTAGAGTTTTCTGCATTAGTTGAGTTATGATTATGCCACATTTACCTCGGATTGTGATTACCAGGTCATCAGCATACCCCTGAATTATAAATCCATTTTTGGTTAAGATGTTCATCAAGTCGTCAATTACCAGGCACCATAGAAGAGGTGGGAGCACTCTCCCTTGGGGACATGCTCTTAGCGCCTTAATAGTCAACGACTCGCCTCCTAAACTGGCTTTGAAAATGACTTTTCAACATGGCTCTACACCATTTGATTGTCGAAGCATTCTCGATGGATTCGTAGGAGGTGTTATCAAAAGCATCCTCGATGTCTATGAAAGCCCATAGGGCTATCTCTTTGGTTGCAATTGTCTCCTCTAAAGTGCTTGTCAAAGCATGGAGAGCAGTAATTATTGATTTTGCTTTCTGATAAGCATGTTGACTCGGATGGAGTGGATTAGTGACAAGCACTCCATTCCTAAGGTATTGATCAATTCCCTTTTCCATCCCTTTGAGGAGAAATGAAGTTAGGCTAATTGGTCTGTATGCCTTGTGATCGACCAGATCGAAGTCTTTCAGATGTGATGTTATAGAAGAATCCTAAAACTGCAGTATCGTCTTCGCGTGAACTACAAACTGTTATTCAAGGGAAGATACGGGGCAGAAGAAGTATAGGGAGAAGGCGCATATCTTGGATGAATAACGACAGTGGTACAACTGTAGTTCAGTGAAATTGTTTAAAACTTTAACATCGAAAGTAAAATTTGACATGATGATTTCTCTCTTAAAGAAGACGGTACTTAATGAGAAAGTTGCATTTTAAAATATATTTATAAATTTATGCACATTAATAACAAAAATCAGATCAAAAACTGAAACTAACTTTGAGTTTATTTTTCTTTATTTTAAATATATAAACTAAACCTCCCTCACTAAACCGAATTGGCGTGGCAAGGTTCAACTTGTTGTCACATGCCAAGAGCCACTCCTTACAACAGTTCAGTTCTTTATAATACGTATCAAGGCGGAAATCATAGATTCCCTTAATGCTAGCATGAAATTTATGATTTTGTTTTATAAATATATTTAAACACTTTTAATTTTATTATTTTTTTTTATTTTATTTTTATTTTTTGTTGTTTTCTGTGTTGTTCTTTTCTAATTTAGGACCCGCAAGATGAAATCGGACCTTAATTTCAGAGTTCAATCATTGAAATTCCGCATCGAAGAACAAAACGATCTTAACGACATACTCCTTAGAGTTTCCGCTTTCGGGTTGTTTCTTTACGCCACTTTTACTGTAATTGCCGGTACTTTAAAACCGACTACGAGAGAACCGAATTTGTTAATTATGATGACCGGAACTTTAGCAATCGTACAGGTAACGTTGTAAATATATTTTTTTTAGAAAATATTTGACTTGAATAGTCTTTTTTTTTGTTTAGGTTTTACTTCAATTATTATTTATTGCTGATGTGTCACGTCGCCGAGTTCATCTTCCGGAACACGACCGATCAAAACCAGGACGTCAAGTTGTAACTTTCTTACTAATTTGCAATATAACTATGTGGATTATATACACGTTCGAAATGAAAAAGGTTGAAGCAAATCCAATAATACCACGTTTTTATGGTTTTCTTGCGTGGGCGTTTATCCAAAGATTAACGCTTCCGTTGTGTATTTTCCATCGTTTCCATTCGGCGGTTACGCTAGCGGAAATATGGAAAACGAGCTATAAAGCAAGGATTGAATAAAACGATCTTTAAATGAAACGATAAGATTTTGAGCTCAAAAAAAAACAATTTAATAGAAAAAAGTAAAGTTTAATGAAAATAAAAAGAATACATAGATACACAAATTGTTGATATTTTGCTCAGAATATAGTTTTTGGTGTAAATAATTTCGACATATCTACAAATTTTAAATGTGGTTTGAACTGTTTTTTGCGGTTTTAGCACACAACACATACAAAAAAGAATATATATAAAAGAATAACACAACATTTCTTTAAAAAAAGAGTATTCCAGAAAAAAAATTAAAAGAGGTAATTTAAAGATTATATTATACTTAATAATGAATAGTGAGTTATTTAGAAATCAACTACTAATATTAATGATAAATGTGTGGTATTTATTAAAGAAAATTACAAAAAAAAATAATAAATTAAAAATCATAAAGGAATCATTTTTTCTACCTTGTACAAAGCCATAGAAATGTTTTCGCCCTTAAATTTCTACTTTTATATATTTAAAAAAAACCAAAAAGGAAAACATCACTAAAAGAAAAAAATCTCTAGGAAAAAGCCCATAGTTTTTAATAACTTTTTAACTTACTACTATTGTAAATTTTTGTGGACCATCAGAAAATTATAAACAAAACGAATAAGTCGGATTTATTTTAAGATAGGTTTTCGTTGAATGTTTACCAAACCTATAACAAAAATTTACCAAACCTTTAACAAAACTACCAAAAAATAATGAAATGCGTCACACTAAAAACGAACGAACTTAACACAAACATTCCTAATCTCACCAAATATTGTTCGTTATAAGGTTAACATTTTACAAAAAAAGAATATGAAACTAAACTTTTATAAACAATGTGATTCCATTATANACATATCATATGGATATTTAGCCTAGTGTGCCATGAAAAACAAGCCTTCTCAATGAGTTCTTGTCAAAGACTCACTTGTTTACGTCACTTGATGCATGTGAGCTAATAATTATCTGTTATGTTCCTAAATATTAGTACTGAAAAGAGTTAAAATAGATAATAATAACGAAAGTAATATTTACACAAATCAAGAAATTCTTAATTTAATTTTTTTGTATGAAAAGCGCGACAAAGTTCGTAGTATGATTCCCAGATCTTCTTTGGCAGTTCGAATTGACGTGTTGGGACTGGGCTCGAAATAAGACAAGGTATTCACCTCTTCCGTTGCATTATCTACTACATTTTTTGGTCAGTTTAACACGTGATTAATTCG